CATTAGATGCCTACTCGTAATAATTACACTAGAAACTGCATGGAAACTACAGGAAGTCATCTTGCTACTCACAAGCTACTCACTTTTGGTAAACTGCAGTTTGCATAATTCGCTAGAGCAAAGCACACATTCAAACATGTATGAAGAAGAATTTGTTCCCTGGGTGAGGGCAGAAGAGTGATACAGGACAGCAGCTAAATGTAGCAATGAAATAGCTAAACACACAGGAGCTGGGGCACATGGAAAACGAGAGCCTCATTTAAAGGTCTGCTGAGAACAAAGCGTGAAAATAGCTGTTTCTGTCGCATGCTTTGTGTCTCCAGGGGTTTCTACAGAAACACTGTACAGTGCAAGATCATCTTCCTTGTGCTGTCTAATATTTTCTAGAGATCATCATCATTTACCCTCTGCCAGTACAATCTTCTTCAGGAGGTGGAAGGAGTCTCATAATGCGCTGGCAAAGCCCAATCTCCTTATCAGGTTATGAGCACATGTAAGGACATGTGGGTTTGCCCTCTAGTTCCCTCAAGTTTACTGCATGGGGGGACAGGACTATATGAATCAAATCAGAACTGCCATTTTCTAGCACTTACAACAGTTACATATAACATTGAATGAAATGAGAGATACAGTTGGGAACAGTAGTACAGCACCACGGTTGCAGCACAATTTTTACATGTGATTTGGATAAAAATTGCCCTTCAGAGGTGCTAAGTGGTCAAAAGGAAGACAAAGCAGCAGTGCATTTTTCATTTGGAAACTACCCTTTGGGGGTAGGGGGAAGCCTCCTCTAAAACTTAAGAGATTTTCCTAATTCACAAGGGATTATATTTTAAACATGTTTTCTGTCTCATCAATGCTATAACACATATATATCAGACATTGCTACGGGTAACAGATAGGAGAAAGGAGGTAATTACACCACTAATTCAAGCTTCACATAGCAGGCTGCATTGAATTTAAAGTCTTTTCATAGAAAGATAGGAAGAGGACTGAAACACACATTAATAAAATCACAGCCATCCCACTTACACTGAAGATGAACTGAAATATATTATGAACAAGGTGCATCTAGCACATCCAAAGCTATCTACAGACACATTAACTTTATTCTAGTGGAGGATTTTATTGATTAGTTGAATCCCTGAGATCCCTCAGGAAACATCCACACATTCCCAGCAGTCTATAAACTAACAAGTCCTGGGAGAGGGAGGAGAGGGCAAAAAGAAAAGACCCAAAACCCACTGTGCCTGAGCATCTAACATTGCCTTCACGGTGAGGGAGTCCCACTGCAAGAATATAGTTCAGCCTTCAGCAACGACTAAAGTGGCCATGAGATCTGGCTACTTAGGCATGACTGATTATACTTTCAGGTCGGTGGGTTTTTTGGTTTTGGTTTTTTGTTTTGGGGGTTTTTTTTGTTTGTTTGGGTTTTTTTTTTTTTGATTGTTCGAATGCCAGAACTACCCTCTTAGCAGAAGTAGTGTCAAACCAGAAATTCAGTGTGTTATCTGTGGGAATTTAAATGGGGCTTTTTTCCCCCCTTACACTGTAAGTTTTTAAATATTTTTTTCCCCAAGAATCATCATCTGCCACTTACATCAGCTTCCTCTGACAAACCACTACTGAGAGCCTTGAGTCTTGGCAGTCTGTAAACCAGCTAAGTTTTACAGCTAATTAAGCCCTAAACCAGTGTCCTATGGAAAAGAAGGTATTTCAAAAGAATTTAAAATTTGGATTCACCACATACCCTGTCGCAATGATGGGCCAGCAATAGTAAGTAAGAGAGCAACATGCAACATCCTCTTGTGGGACTACTATCAAGAGATGCTTGTGCTGCAGATTCTTGAACTCACCTGGAAGAACTTGGTGAAGAGAGGGAAAGTCTCAAGAAGTCTGTGTGCAGGAGAAAAAAGTAATCTAAATACCAAAATGAGTTGGTCTTGTACTCTTACCATACCTGCAGGGATACAAACAGTGAGTAGAAACCTTCCAGAGACTATTATTTATTTCAAGAAATACACAAGCAGATCAGGTGTTAACATTTACTTTTATTTATAAAAAAACTGTAGAACGTATTAAATACAAACATTTGGAAAAAGCAATCAAGGCTTCGCTAAGATGCCCAGGAAGAGGAAGACAGAGAATCAAGAAGCTTACCAGGTTTAGAGTTTTTAAACTAGCTGAAGTAATTACTATAATTTTTCACTGACTTCTTTATAGGCAGTGGTCATTATAGCAACCAATGTTATTACTGTCCTTTTTAAAAAACAGAGATATGATTTGCCATATCTTCCCACTCAACCACAAAATGTTAAGGAAGCAACTCTTTCCAGGTTAAAAATCAGGGTAATAAATACTAATGCATTTACCCATTACCTACATTGTATAACACTAAACATTTGCTTATAATCACACATGGATATCAAGTTTAGCCCAAAAAATCGATTACACATTTCAAATCTGGATATCCAATAAGGTGTTATAAACTTTATCCATTTTCCAGTGAACATCAAAATGAGGACAGTGTTTTGAAGTACAGAAACAAAATGACTGAATGCATCGTCTACACTATAAAGGCCAACTAGTAAGAGGTGGACTGGGGTCTAGTCATGTTCCAGATAGCTGGAAAGTCCTACAAACTGCCACTGAAAGGCTGGTTGGAAGACAAATCATGTCACGTTCTCAGTCTGTGTTAGCTCCTCTCCCTTTCTAAAAGGCCAAAGGTAAGAACCGTAGCTACTCTCTCTTCTGCACCTTGTGGTAATGAAGGAGTAAACTATCATTCTGCTCTCTACATGGACAAACCAGATTCAAGTTTTCTTAGACTGCTGTTGCTCTTTTGCCACTCTTAAATGCCGTACGCAGTACATACAGACCACTAAACAAGATGTAGAAGCAAGAAACTATAGAAAATACCTCTTCTGTCTTTTGGAAAGAGAGGAGCACTTCTGCCTGCTGACAATACGGCACTCCCTCCGTCTTCCTGCTTCACCCTGTATCTGCTTTCGAGCTGCAGCATAATGCACATTGATGTGGCTATATGGCCCTAAAGCCAAATTAAGTTCTAAAAAAAATCCTATTTGTGGGACTGACTCTTTGGGGATAACCAAACTATTAAAAAAATGCTGTACAGAATAATCTTGGACACACGAACATTAACAGATGTCTTCCATTCTGCCTTGTATTTGTCAGAATAGAAAAAAGAATTGCCAACTTACCAGCACTCACAGGGTTACTACCGCAAGAACGGAGTGCCAAAAGTGTTATGGGATACATAGTGTTGGCAGTCGGCTACAGGATGGACTGACTGGATACCTGCAAGAGCACAGGCGGAATGCTTCTGACAAAGCTGCCCTTTGGGGACGGGCTGAAGTTGCGCTACTATTGTGAGTAGAGGGTTGAACAAATGGACCAGCATCCCGAACGCACGTCAGACCTTGTTACTGAGGAAAGCGTTTTCCAATTACTACATCCGCCCTCAGAGCACAGGGGGGACTGCCAATGTGGGCACTGCTGTGCTGGAATACCTACACGGCCAATTATTTGCAGATCAACATCTTCAAGAAGAGCTAAATACTTCTCTTACCAGGCAAACACAGAGCAGTTGCTGTATATACCAAATAGGCAGGGGTTCATTTAGCTACAAGCTTGAAAACAAAGTCAATTCCAGCACATTTCCCAAATTCAACAGCATCCCTGACTGCAACACAGACATGATTATCCTGCTCTCGCTGTGTGCAGTACACTTAAAGCACTTAGTGCAATGAGAACCCTGATGCAGGCCTGGACCCAGATGAAACCGTCAGGCCAGTTCCACCCCATTCCCTTTTTTCCTCTTCGGCAATTATTGACATGCAAGATCCATATTTTACAAGCCATAACATATATTTTTTGAAGACACTTAATGATAGATATTTAACAGCCAGAGCTTACTTGACCCCAAAAGCCTTGCTCCCATCCAAAGAATTCACTGCCACCCAAAGCAAGCAGGAAATCACATGAAGAGGAATGTTGTGAAGGCATGGGAGGTCAGAGTACTGAAGAAATGGAAAGAAACAACAGTATTTAGTATGCTGACTGCTTCTCACTCAGTGCTCAGCTTTTAGCATGATATACATCACATTTAAACAAATGAGGGGTTTGTTTTTGTTTTTCTACCCTGGCTGTTTGGGAGGTACTTTTTATTTTCTGGAATCTTCAAGAAAAATAGGCCTTCCATCCTCTAAGTCAGAGACCAGAAATCATGATCTTGGCATCAGTGCCACCCCCCATTACACCATCAGAAATCAATACACTGCCCAGCATCCCTGGTGACATATTTGAAGTTACACTCTTAGAAGACACTTAAGTCAGGCAATGGCTCCATTCCAGAAACACACAATGTTACCGAGAGCGGAGTGTGGCCCCTAGTTTTAACCTAGTTTAAAATATTTTACAAATGCATTCCTACAAATCTGACCACAGCAAAATATATAGTGGTTTTAAAATGGCAGGAAGTTGAATTCAAACAACTCAATTTTTAAACCAGTGAGAAATATGGGCAATTTTAAAAGAAAACAATAAACTTCTCAAATACAGACATTTGTGAAACATACATGCACACGCACACTCGCGCGTGCACACGCACCCACTTACTTCACTCAGTGTCAGATTAAGATTACACAAGGCAATTTTCAAGGTTGCATTTACAACCACAATGACAAGAACAGCATTTTTGAGGTAGCTGAAGTCAAAGAGCAAACCACAGCACAAGCAAAGAAACAGGTGCTCGCACTCACACCGAGCCCACTCTTTGGAGACACGTTATCATGTGCGCAGGGGCGTGTGTTGAAGAGGCACGAGTTCCACGGGGAATGATGTTCAGCGGCACTGGAGACCTGATAAACTATTCTCCAGACAAGCTTATGTTGGGAGACCAGATGGCACAATCAAGGGACCACGGCTTAAATCACTGCATATCAGCTGAGCTGTGGTAACAGTCTCGGTGCTCTCGGTCTGCAGCAGTTCTACCGACAGCTCTGTCTCACGTGCACTGAAGCAAGTACAACTGTGGCAGTTGAAGATGTTATTACTCAGAGCTGTCTGTCCCACTTCTCTCCTAGATGCTACTGTTGGTAGAAAGGTACATGTACCCGTATCTCACCTGCTCCAGTTTGCAGCCTAGCATTCAATTCAAGCCCACCTCCACAGTATTACTTGCCAATGGACTGTGAACAGGAGCAGCAGAGACACAGACGTCAGTTCCCTTCTTCAGGTGCAATAACATCTTTGCCACATGAACAGCACAAAGATGTCAAACTGCCACAGCTTGAATCACCAGACTTCGTCTCTCAGAGCCCTTTGCTAGCCTACAACAAAAGGAGTTGAGCTAACCTCACAGCAAATGCCAGGCAATGTGGGCATAAGGGGATAATAGCTGTGGCTGGCTGACAGACTGGCTCAGCCACAGTAACTGGATCATGTCTCCGGGCACACAGAGAGCTTGATCCTGCCCAAATTATAAAACTGTGTGAAACACACTCATACATACACACATAATGTAGTATTTTCTTCAAGAAGCTTTCTACAAATCAACTGTTTGCATGATTACTGCTGAGAGTCTTGAAGATGGAATGGAAATTATGGCAAGATGTTTTTCAAAGGTAGAAAGAAAAAATCAACCTCCTATGATTAAGTCTCTGTTGTGTAGTTGCTGTATGAGAGAGATGGCACAGATGAGAAGTTATTATTCCACTGCCTTCCTCCAGTATTCTGCTGCAATTCTGCCTGCTCTTTATATTTGCTCAGAAGATTTTTGGCTTCTTGCAGATCCTGAGAAGAGTTTTCCCCGTATTCTTCTTTCAGCCACTGCCTGAACTGTAGAAATTGAACATACATATACAATATGATGAAACAATAACATGAGATTGATGCAGAAGTAATACTCCCTCCTGTTCTACAGAATTTCAAGAGCCTTTAAGAACACAAGTAGTTTAAAGAAAAGCACTCCAAATATTGCATGTCCTTCAATAGCAGCGCAGAATACATAGGCGCAGGAACACACACTTGAAATCACCGAGATCCCTTACGTCCCCTAAAATGACACACTTGCGTAACAGCTTGGCTGACTGGAGTAATGTGGAAGAAGGAACACCCACCAGGCAAGGACATCCTGGCCTTAAAAGCAGCCTCCTCCTGTTGCATATACAATAAGATGAATAAGTATGGAAGCTATATGATCAGCCAACTTGCCCAAGCCACAACAGGCTGCAAGAAGGCTGAAGATCAGAAAGTGAACCACTCATATGGGTTTTTCATCCTGAGCCCACAAACACCAGTAGTAAAAAAAAGTACTGTAGATATCATGAAAGGTATCTTCTAGGAAGAAAAAGACCAGGAGCTTTAAAAGCTATAGAATAGGACCCTTTATGTTACTGACACAAATGACTGAGTATGGTACATGGTAACAGATGTACCAGGTCCAGTTGAAGGTCAGTCCAGCTCTGTATCCTGGTATGAGAGTAGCCAGACGTAAATGCCGAAGAAAGAATCAAGCAATGGCAGGGCAATAATGCTAGGACCTTTTCCCTGCTCATTTCCTCAGCTTCCAGCAATTTTCAGCTCAGGTACTTTCGGAGGCTGAGGCAGTATCTTTGTTTTTGATGGGAATAAATGAATTTTTCTGCCATGAGATCACTTTCTGAATCCACAAATTTTTACCACAAGATATCTGGATGCCAACAAGCTCCATAAGTACATATTGTATAAACCCCCCGCCTTTTCCTTGATTGGGACCTGCCAACTGATAGCTCTCTTTCACATTACAGGGAAGAGTGGAAATCACACCTGTTCACTTTCTCTATTCCACTCAACTTTATTACATCCTTATCTGTCATTTCTTTGCCAGCTGAATCATTCCTGACAATCTTGTGGCTCTTGTCTGCAGAAGCAGCAAGTAGACAGTTCTGTCCCAGTGGGGATAATATCCTTGTGATCATTTTTCAAGCCTTAATTTTCATAGCCTTGTCCTGCTTGCGGCTCATGGACAGCTTTATCCATAAGACCATTTGCTAGGACATGGGGAGACAAGACCTCAACATAGTTACTCCCTCCCATTCCTAAAAGATCGTAAGGTCCTGACTGAAATCTGAAGCCTCAGGCTACCATGTGGAAGTTTGGAATTGGTGCAAACCATGTTATGACCTTAGTGACTAAACCCCTTCCTGTAAGACCAAGATCTAAAGGACCCCATTCCAGAAACCCCACAGGATACCACCCTACAGTGGCACAGCAAAACACCCATGCTGCTGAAATCAGAAAAAAGTTCACACCCTTGGCAGATGGCATTATTCCACTGAAATCAGGTGTGTAAACAGACACCTGCTAAGGATGTGGTTGCTGTTAAGAGACAGTAGGAAACTACAGCCCAGCCAGTGACTACAGGTGGATATTTCTTTTTGCAACCTACTGCCTCCCCCTCAGTGAAAAAAGGCAGAATGTGCCGTCCATGGTGGATGAAAAAAGAGAGACGTTACTGTCTTTATCAGGCTATTTGCATATAGCCTTAATTGTCATTGCTGTTAGCCCAGACCAATTAGAGTAGAAATGACTGTAAGGGAGGAAGGAGACAAGTCTGGAAAGTCCCCCTCTGACTTTTGTCTCTTAAAAATCAGTTACTCTACCATTTACACCAGTTCCAAACGATCCAGGAAACATTCAGTTAAATATTAAAAAAAGGCAAATATTTACAGTTGCAAACTGCATCATGCAAAACAAATGGTAATTTCTAAACTCGGAGCTTTCTGCAGCAGAATGACAGTGATGGAATAAAAAAACCCAACATCCTTTGCCTTATGTATTTTGCTTTCCGATTTTGGTTTGCCTCTGTTGTTGTTGTTGATTTTTAATAAGCACAATAGGCACAAAAGCCCAGAGAACAGCAACATGCTGAGCAATGGAAAATGAAGGGGACTGCCAGAGTAGGTTAACATAAGTGGAAGTCACCAATCACCCACGGGGAGATGGTCTTTTGCGTAGGATGATTCTTTTTAGTGGTAAGAAACTAATTTTTGTTTTATGAAAACCACTTTGCAGTCTTACTGTTCCCTCAATTCTTCTAGTCCTACAAAGCCTTCAAAGGTTAAGGAGAAAAAAAGGGTCAGATTTGAGACTGTTCTACACATCAGAAAATGTATTAAGTCTCAGCCACAGAAGGTGTGGGGGAACACAACACGTAAGTCATAATGAGAACCTAGTTTAACTCCTGGATAGCAAAGATTTCTGATTATGGTTTCTTTCCTGGTTACTATTCCAAATGAATGTATTGGGGGGAAACCCACTATTTTTATGCAACTGGTACTTAGAGGTTGGTCTTTCTGCTGCATTCTGAGCAACTCACTCTTTAGTTTTTACCCCTCTAAAGGTGTCAGTCTTGTATTATGTCTTAGCACACATGAAGCAATCACTGGATTGAGAGCACAGCTGGGCAGGAGGTGTGTTTAGATGTTGTTCTTTATCTCTTCTCCCATCCAGCATTCCCCAATACCTTCAGTTCTATTCACACCTCCCCAGTGGAGCAGGCTTGGCCAAGAAGCCACTCCCTCAAAGCAAAAATCTGGGAGTCAGACAAACCACCCAGGCCTCAAAATAATAAGTAGTAGCCCATGATCTGAGATTTGGGGTTGTGTTTTGCAGCTCATTTGTCTGTAGTTCATTTACCTGATCAACATCGTGTTTTTCGAAGTCCTGTAGCTGTCTCTGGAACCCCATGTTAGGATTCGCACAGGATCTCGCTGCACGGACAACAGACAGTGCATCTTCCCAACCAAAGTCTGTGATGGTCATGATGTAGGCAACCACCAGTGTTACACTCCTGGAGACACCTGCAAGGCTGCATGAAAAAGGAGGTGCAATAAATTGTAGTAGTACTGTACTTCATCTATCACGGTTAAAAGCATCACCTCCCAACATCACAGCAGACTGTTGTGTTACTTGCCACAAGGAAGAAATATTACAATATTTGAGTCAAACGGTTTTGGTGCCGCTTTTTCAAATGTATTAGAACAAATCTATGACAAGATAGAGAAGGTGGGTTCTGAGTGGTAATTCATATGAGACTGGAAAGGAAGAAATAAGTATTAAGTCTTCACAAAAGCAGGGGACAGTGCACACGTTCTAAGTTAGATTTGGTTTTTAATAACCTAGAAATAAGTCACCCACTTTCTTCTGCTTATATAGATCAGAGCAGTGAAATAAGACCAATTCCTCTCCATCACAAATAAAGGCTTCAATTTCATGGGGCCGAAATGAACTTTAACTGAACTGTTAAAGTATGTATGTCTGGTTGCTCACGTTCTTTTCCTCTTTCTGCTATCCATGCGCTGTGCAACCTCAACTTTCAGGACTCCAGTTTCCCCACATGAAACACTGGGATAAAGTAAGAATCATTCATTATTACTGGTTTGACAGTACTGGACAAAAAACTCCCAGCTATTACTATTGTGAGTATAAAGAATGTGTTTGAGTTACATTTGTAGCAGACTCCTTCACTTGGCATTTCGAGAACGTTTTACACTTTTGAAAGGCTTCACAAAATTAAATATATGTTTTTTTAAAACTCTACCAAAATTCAGACTAATTATCCCTGATTCACATACATGAACTCATGCATAGCCCTATCATGAGTCAGTAGCAAACTGAGGATTTATGCTCAGGGCCTGTGTACAAGTCCAGTGTTCAAATCACGAGATGACTCTGATTCCAGATATAGACTCAGATATGTCACTTGGACACACAGCACAAAGACTACAACCAATAGCAGAGAGCAAGAAAAAACCCAGGGTGGGATTTCCTTTTCTATTCTGTACAGTCACAGGTACATCTCTCCAATCAGAGACTTGCTATTAACAAATGCAACATTTGAATGCTTCAGCAGTTTAAAGGAAAAAAAAAAAAAGAGAAAAAATCAATTTCTGTTTAGAGAAATTTTTTTTAACAACTCTGAAGTCACCAAAATAGCTGTTATAGAAACTAATCAAATTACTAGGAGTATGGAAATCACATTTAGAAAGACAGTGATTAAAATAATGGGAAATAAATAATACGTCTCTAGTCAATGCATCTCTAGTTAAACCAATCCTACAAAAAGGTTTGATTAGAAGAGAAGGTCAAGAAGAATTTCTTAGGCTCCTTTTATCACCAGGCAGCTGCCCACCCCAGTGACTCAAAAGTCATAGCATTTAATAGCATTTGCAAATCTTCTGGGGCTCTTCAAATAAAGGGGGCGTTTCAGTCCAAGAGGATTTTGCTATAAAATGGAGACAAACACTAACTTATCATTAAAATGATGAACATCCAAACCAAGGTAGAGAAACCCTTAAGAAGTTTTTTTAGCAAGTGGTATACATACCAATGAACTAGGCAGCCTTCACCTGTGAGTCGGCACTCATGGATAAATTTGATGCTCTCTCTGAAATGCCTTGCCCTGAAAACAGAAGCAGAAAGGGAATAAAGAAAGTGCTCTATTTAGTAAAATCACTACTTAGAAAGAGAGAAATGTATCCGAAAGCTCACTTAATGCTGTTTCTAGAATTTAGAACTGAATACAGGTCTTACAAGGTTAAAGTTATTACTGTCAATGAAACGCAAAACTCACTAGCATAGTTATTCTCCACTCTACCTGAAGAAGAAATCAGTGTCTTAGGCACTAGCGTGATAAACATTAACGAACACTTTATTCTGATGACTGTCAAGTCTGTATTTCAGTTTGTGTTTTATTCCTCTTTAAACTAGTAACTTGACCTCGCATGTCCTTGCATATGCTCGGATGTCAGATGAAACTCAGCACAACTACATGAACAGTTCTCAAGGTATATTATCTGTCCCAAAGAGCCATCCACTACCCGCTACCCAAACTTGTGATTAACTTTGACTTCACCTCCTCCTTCAAACCATGTACTAGGACACATTTAAGTGTTATGACTTTCTTCTTTGCAACATAAAATCTCGTCCTTTTGACCTTGCTATGAAAAAATTCTCATTTCAAGCCCTGGCTTTTTCAGCTTCTTCCAGTCTCCTCCCCTCAGACTGCAGCACCCCTTCTGCCTGCCCTTTTTCAGGGTGTCAGCCAAGCCCTCCCTACAGACTACCTTTTTTAAAGCAGTGGAGGAGAAAATGTGGAGAAGATAAAGACTCAGTTTACAAACCTTAAAGTTTGTACTCTCGTTACCCTTTACACATGCCTCTTCGTTGTAAGTCGGGTAAGTCTGAAGGAAAGTAACTGGGCAGCTGTCATCATCTCAGTAAATCTGCAGCATCGCCTCTTTGCATCCCAGTCCCAAGTTGTTCACCCTGCCTCTGCCTTTCAGACTGCAAAGCCTTTAGGGCTGCCTACAATTTATTGCAGGTGCAATCAGCACCTCTTAGTTCAATAGAGCTGGAGTTCACTGTGGCCTTTGAGTTCTCTTGCAATTTAAGCTCACAAGCAGCAATGTGTGCAACACAGAGGAAGGAGCTTCTTAAGGAGCAGTCAGTACCAGGCTTATTGGCAAAGACGAACCTGAAAGCACACTGCGCTCAACACCCATGAAACACAACGTCCTGTATTCAAGATGTTTCCCCTCTCAGGGTGAATATTATACCACAAGGGTAAAAGAAAAAAACCTCAGCCCAGCACCAGCAGCCACACAAAAATCAGGAATACCCACATAAAAGGAAACTTCCCTTCCTGCCCAACTGTGCAGCTGCTGATACTATAAACACACAAGACCTGGAGGAGGACAACAGTGATGCAACAAAGTGGCAGTGCCTGTGGAACTTGCAAAGGCAAACATGTCTAAGCTGAAATATCCAAAAAGAGGGATCCCAAAGCCCAGGACTCCCTCTCCAAGGCAGTTCTTGCATCACTGGATACAACATGGAGAACACAGCTGGAGAAGACTTGAGTGACTTATCTGGAAAATCTCAAGGCATGATGCAATCTCAAGCTTTAGGACAGCACATCAACTCAGGATTTTATGTTTCTCAAGAAACCGATCAAGTATGTGGGATGAGTGAAGAAGAGGAAGGAAGCCTTACAAATGCATTTCTACTCAGACTGCCACTCCAAAACATTTTCGCTGGCTGAGTTCTAACAAATCATGGCACTCAAGTCTGCCTGTGGGGCACGAGCAGCTTCACATAAATTAACTCAGAGGACAAATGAAACGTTGGGCTGTGTGCACAAGAGGCACTGCTATTGCACAATGAAGGAGCACTTATCCGAGATTCAATGGATTCAGTCAAATGAAACTTTGTTAGGGCTGGATTGACAACATCCCAATCTTCTCATACACCCATCTTTTCTCTTTAGAAAATCTGGCCAACAGCACAGCTCCAAGCACCAGTTAATTCACTTCAATGGTCTAGCACAAGTTTTGGTTAAACACTTCAATGCTTTGGTTTGAAAAATATTCGTGAATGAGCATAACACTTTTGCAAGGTACTAAATATAGCTAGCAGTGAACTCCATTCACTCAGTTTTATTTGACCTTCCTTATTGCTGACACTCGGTCTGCTGAAACACTGTCAAGTGTAAGCGTTTACAGGCATTCATGAAAACGAGAAGAGAAATAGCCAAGTTTAGAATTAGTGCTGCTCTGTAGAACCATAGCCCCTCCTCACCTTTAGTCAAAGAAAAGGAGAAATGTACTCCTCCACAACCCTATGACATTGGGGTCTCTGCTGGCTCCAGCAGACAGTTGCCTAAACTAATTTTCAAAGTTATGGTATAAACCATATTTACATGAAAACTAAGATTGAGGACCAGTTAGCTGTGTAGCAAGTGCCAGACACAAAGAAGAATGGCAAGTCTTCGATTAACCACAAAACAGTTGATTATCGTCTGTAACAGGAAAGCACTTGACAAATGTGTTGATTTGCAGCCTATTTGTTGGACTGAACAGTTACTTCAAGACAATTTATTACATGATATCTGGTTTTTACATCTCCCAGCTTAAAGCTGGGTCCTGAACTGCATCATCTTCACAGTGGGAAAACACCACAGAAAGAACCGCTAGTACAGAGCCCCTACCAGCATGTTGTAAAAGTTATCTAAATTTACGCATTAGCAAGCTGGATAATCCAAAACTAGGCTGAGGGCAGAGTTATGATACCAGATCTACATACTCACTTGTTGCTAGTCAGACTTCTACGAATATTATAAAGGTTAAAAAAAAAAGCATCCAAATCAGATAGGAAGAAGCATGTTGATGTTTCTTTCCTTTGGCAATGTGAATGCAACAAAGAACCACCTAAATTTCTTTTCTTAATAGGTTATCTGGCTTCTGTATTATCACCACTAACAGCCTGACCATTGGAGGTTAGTTCCTTAGAAACACGTAGCCTAAGACAATTAGCTGGAACAGACAGGAAGGGAAGATTTGATTTCTATAGAATTAATGTTTTAGCAACAGGTTCTGTAGGAGATGACATTTCTGGAGAAGTCAATGGCCTAAGGTAAAATTCTCACAGTCCAGCGAAAACACTCATTTAACGCCTACGAAACACCTCAAGTCTCAAAAGCAACTGCTTGATTCCTATGCTTGGTAGGGGCAGAACATGGGAGTAGAAGCCAGCTTTTGAGCCACTTCAGTGACTGAACACCCACATGTTAATAGGGGAATCCCTGCTGTATTTCCCTGGCAATTCATTCCTCTGAGGATGGGAGCTCCACTAAACAAGCTTACTAGGAGTAAATGTGCATTACACACATAAGAAATCAGAAGTTTCCCTCACAAAAACTGAGCTGAAGGGAATTAAGAGCTCACAGTCCCAGTGGGTAAAGGCTTTCAGTTGGACCTTATCAACCTGCCAGCAGTAGCAGCAAAGTTTCTGACAAACTTGCTATTGGGGGGATAGACAAGACAGCAGTATCTGCTCAGTTGTGCCTGCCAACTATTGCTAAGAAAACACAAGGACCTGCAATACAGGATGCTGCTTTTTTTTTTTTCCTTACACCACCAGAATCCCTCTTTTGAAAGAAGAGGGTAGATACACAAAGCTGTTGCAGAGGGACTGATTCCCTTTCCTGTTCCCCAGCTATCCTTCCCTCCGCAGAGGGCACAGGCAGTACGGTTACCACTCCTAGATAAGATTGTGTCAAATCCTCACAGACTGAACAAAGACAGCTTCTTCTTGCTTTCAGAAGCTTGTATGTGCAAAGCAAGCAACATTGCTATTGGCGAGCATCATGATTTGATTTTACTTGAAGATCTGGACTGTATAAAGCAAAAAAGAAAAATCAGTTACTCGTCAAGTTTTATTTTAAGTGATAAAATGTATCAGTATTAGAAGCAATGACATTTGCTTGCAACCACCTGATACCAAAGCAAGTATTTTAGATGTCTGCAGCATAACAGAAACAATACACATGCAAATATTGTATCTTCTTACTGAAGCTTTAAGAGCTTTGGTACTGCGCCAGACAGCTCAAGCACCAGAGGTGGTTTTTCAATATAAGTCCTTGATATCTAACAGTAAGGGAGGGGCTGGATTGTATATTGATTAAAGTTCATCACAAATGCCATCCTTTCTATTTCCATTCCCAATTCATCCAGATCTCTATTAACAAAGGAAGCAGATTTGCAAAACGTTTTCAGAAATGCTACAGATCTCAGAATACTGACAAACAATTAATATGACAACATGTGAATGTTTCCCTCTAATCTCCTATTTTTTTCTTTCCCAAAAGGATTTTTTTTACAGTTATTTATTTTTATTTTTTTAAGTATTAAGGCCACAAAAGCTGTCCATGACAAAGGCAGTTAGCTGTCTGCCTTCTCATTACTGATCTGTCTTGTAATTTAGGGGTTTGGGGTGGTTTTTTTTGTTGGTTGGGGGGGTGATTTTGTGGTGTGGTTTTTTTTCCCCCCTTCCCCTAAAATCACAACAGAAATGCAGAATGAAAAGGCAAATCACCACACATCAAATGCCACACTGGAATCTTTTAGGGTACGAGAAACACATACTCTAAAAATATCCCCTGAAAGCATGAGCCATAATATTGCTGTGATGTGAGACAAAAGCAGTGCTGCATTTCCTTCCGTACCTACCAGGCCTCTTTCAACTACTTGCTTCTCCACAAAACTTGGTAGCAGGATGTGGCTGAAACCCCCCTCACCTCTCCCCAACATAAACAGTGAGCTCTAGAAGAAAGAGTTGGTCACCATCCAAGTTCTCTTACAAAACCTCTTTTGATTTCTCTTTGGAATCAAGACTTGCTATGCTCAGTGGTTCAAAACATTAAAACCAAGGGCAAGCCAATTAGTGTTTCATGAACGTTAGCAGAGATGAGAAAGAGCGAGGCTGGGACACCCTAGTTTCAGTACATATATCCCCAAGGCAAGAGTCACCGCAGGGCAGAAACTCCCTGCCGTGCCAGCCTACTACTAAGAGCAGCGGGGCCTTCTAAGGCAGGTTCAAGAAGTCCAGAGCAGATAGTTGCAGGGGTAGTTTGCACACTGGGACTTTATCTTGAAGGCCCACTGTGAGGAATTTATTTCAACCCTTGAAGCACCAGGCTTCATACCTCTTCAAATATTTTCTTCTCATTAATGGCTGGAGATAGCACTAACAACAAAGAACAGCCAAGCAAAAACATTTACAAAAACAATGGCTAGAATAAACTGGGACTAAATTAGGAGAGGACTCACTACGGGATTCCTGAAGTTCAAGGCCACAAATGAAGAAGAGTGTTTACATACTGACCCTCCTACAAACCCTTACACACAAAAAGGAGGGTCTGAACCAAAGTGGCTGTGGCTGGAATAAAGTGTTACTGTGTTTTCTTAACGGATTGAAAACCATGTCTGTGTAATACTTGAGAGATCAGAATCAGATCTTTCACCTTTTTATAAAGCAGGTATCACAGTACTGAGGGATTTCTGGGGTTTTGTGATTTATTTTTAAAAAAACTTACAAGTTCTGCGAGGGTGAGTCAGCAGCAGGGAGGCACAGATACTTCACTCCCTGTGTAAAGAAGCAAAAAGGAATGAGAAGAAAATATCCAAGTTAAATACATTTATCTACCACTGTGCAAGTCCTGCTCTACACTGGTGCACTTTGAGAAAGGCACACCATTATTCAGACAAGCAGAGATCATCTCTATGCAGTGTTTTCACATCTGCTTTGTTGCTAAGACACCAGCACATAGCTTAGTCATGCTTATCCCAAGGCCCAATAGCAAGCTTTTTAAAACAGAAGTATCTTTACTAAACAGGTGTAAACCTCTTTTTCAAAATCCCATTCTTCTCACATTTCTAGAAAAACTAAGTTGCATCTTCTCCTGCCCTTCCCTTTCTCTGAACAGATGCTACAACCTAAAATTGTGATAAGGAATTTCTTTTGACCCCATGTAATTATTTTTCTTTATCTAGTTGATAAACCAAGCAAAATGCATTTCAGAGAAGAAACATATTTGTGGTATGGGTTTTCGTTTTTATTTTTTGGAAAATTCAAGAAGGACAACCGTAAAACTCATGATTTTCTTCCACAAAGTCAGCCTCACTTTCTTAGTCAGCTATCATAATAAGTTACAAGATCAATTAGGGAAGTTAGATAACCATTTCTGATGCATTAAAAATGTTACTGGGTATATTTAAAACAACACTATAATCATACACTACTGCTTTGCATCGTCAACGCTCATTTTAACTGTCATTTTATTTTCAAAGCTTGTTTTGCTCCTATGACTTAAGAAAAAGAACACTTCTGAAAGCATATTTAGCTAACTTCTCAAATAGGACTTCCAAGAATATAGGTTGCAGCTCAGACACACAAAAATTAAATCATTCACTGGAAGTCTTTCGACTTATCTCAGATGCAGAGTTATGAATTTTTCAGATGTACTTGTAAAGATAAGGATTCACAGCAAAAGGTCCACCCTAAAATGCACCTTAGTTTATCTTTCTGTAACAATGCAAACCCCTGTAATAATCCTGCACGTTCAACAACACACATGGGAAGTCACACATTTATCTGTAAGAGATTCTTTGCCAACAAGATGGAACACAACATGCACCTACCAGCCATTTCATTTGGCAGCTGGGATGGGGTGTGAAAATGTCATTGCTCAACTGTGGTGGCTACCTGTGGCATCATCTTCTCCACCACCACCTTTGCTTTGCTGGCTCAGAAACCCCTCCTTAATTTCCCCTACACACACTTTGTTACTTCACTTGCCATCTTACACCAAAGAGCAATCCCCTTTATAAGAGGTCCCGACCCCTCACACCATGATACACCATCATGCTAATTCTCTGCAGGATGCATGAAGTTCACCACTATGTCAGAAAGGATGTGTGATACCTCACCCCCATCCCTTCACCTCCACTTACACCAGCCATTTTCTCAACCCACCAGAATCCCTTCAGCCAGTGTCTTCTTCACAGCCACACAGATTTGAGAGCCTGCCCTGTCTCCACCATGCTTTGCCAGACTTCCTCGCTCTGACAGGCCATCCCCAGCGTGCCACAACCGGAGCAGAGATGCTACTGTCTATGGCCTTCTGGTTTGGGGAAGGCCGAGTCAGAGTGGGGAAGGCTCTGCAGACAGTGCTAAGCATGGAGATGGAGATCAGGCAGTACCTGATGAGGGAAAAGGCACCATCAGGACAACACCAAGCCAGTGACAGCACATGGCATTTTGTGTGAGAGCTGCATGGCAAAATGCAGCTGAGGGGAGAGAGAATGAGAATGAAGTCAGTTTGCAAACCAAAGCAGCTTGCTGCTGGAGGCTATGCCATCCACAAGTAACAGTCCCTCCTGCCTTGTATCAGGAGAAGGGATGCCTACTGTGGGAAACCAGGATGGCTCCACAGCCATAAGCTGATCCACAACAGCTTGCACAGATACATTCATTCAGAAAGACGATGTAGCAGTAATACATATATTGATAGGCTGTTGAGCCAAGGATGATAATTATACTGTGACAGATTAATGACGATAATAAGCATCTTGTATGACGCATCTGAGAGGTTTATCTTGAACACTAGTATCACTTCAAGTGAGTCACTCCAATAGAACGAGGGCCTGTGACCCAAAAGTAAATTTACATGCTATTCTTTCCCTCCCTAGACAACTTCATGCCACTAACTCTGCACCACCAAGGGAAAAAACAGGAAGAAAACAGAAGGTAGGAGATGGGTTAACTCCAAAGCTCACTATATGCCAGAAGGTTCGTTCCTCCAGCATGCACTGATGCAAGTTGTTCCACAGATTTCAGAAGCTATGGCACATGCTGAGTGCTTTTCACAGGCTGAGTGCAGAGGGGCTTTCAGATCATGTTCACTTTAAAAGCAGAAGTACCACCATCACAAGTTTAAGACCCACAATGTTCTTTTTTTGTCATGGCTGGCTAGTTCCCACTACCGCAAGCAAGCATGAAACTAGCCTGTGAGAGACCACACATGGTACTGAATGGCTCATCCAGAGCCTGATCCTGGAGGTCTTCAGCACTTACAACTTCCAATGAAGCCCACAGCACTCTTTTCACTATTGTGCTTGCAAATGCTCAGCATCAGCCTTGTTAATATAGCTTCTCAGACAGGAGATAGTTAAAGTTACTGGAATTTGGTATTTTGACCGATGCACGTCACTTGTACGGTGTTTTTGGAAGGCTGTGGTGATGGACTCCTCCCTGTGAGGAAATAATCACACACTCAACTCAGAAATAGTTAGAGGTGGGATTTCAAAAGTACTGTGCAGTGACCTAACCCGACTCCCACAAAAATCAACAGTGAAACTCTCAGAGACTCTGACCCAAACACAGTTTGGCCAGAATTGGTAACTCCTGAGGATCCCACCCTACCATCAGATTTTGCTTCTCTTGGTTGAAATAACAATGATAATAATAGGATCAAATATCATTCATCAATTGGATACCTGAAATACAACAACCACACAAGATTGTATGGGGCAGGTATTCATAAATGAGACTTCAAGGGATTTTCTGTGTAGATACTCACATGTTGATTGCTGGAATTAGCTTTTCCTCACATATGCTGGATAGACTTTCTTTTTTAAACATATTGGCAATAGGAAGATAGTTAATTACTGAATCGTGCTGTGACTGTTTTTTAAAAAAACACTACCCAGGATCATAATATTATTTGTATATTTGCTCCCCAAGACACTGCTGTCCTTCCTGTGCACATACCCTGCAGATAACATCTAAGAACTGTCCCAAAGGGACCTTTCAAAGCAGAACAGATTATGCCAACCGAACAAGTAAATACTTACAATGTTTTAGATGGGGTACTAACATGCAAGAAAGATAGAGACATCACTATTTTATTATATAGCAGTTTGTTTACCATTCTGAAACTGCAAAGCATAAGATAAAAGAAGGTAACAATCACTGAAACAGCGACTAAAACAGAGTAAGCTAAATCAAAAGATTGTTGAAGAGTCAAGCAGACCAGCTCCTAGTGAAAATTTCAACAAGCTCCAAATCAGTACCTAGTCTGCAGTTTCATTAAACAAACGCATCTGGTTGCAAATGCAATATCCAAAGTTGCATATTAATAAAGATGGGAAGACAAAATACAAATCTTATGTCAACCATATGGAAGTCTTTATTTTATTAATTTATTTTTAAATTAACTGTTTTATTCCCTAGGAATGACAATTCTCTAAAAATTATTCAGTGGAGGAAGGACAGAACAACTCAAAACAGGTATTGTATCACTTCACCTACACACACTAAATTAGGTGCCACAGAATAGCTAACTCATCCCAAAACATGGTATTTGTTCAAAGCAAAGAGAAAAGCTTGCAATTATAAAAACTGGTGAGAAGAGAAATATTATTTTAAATCCTACATGAATTAATACATCCACTTTATTTATTGAATGCTGCTGCTAATATATTGTTATTCAAACATTTCTCCAGCTGACAGCTGTGTCAGTCATGTCTCATCTCTCCAAACAATCTTTTTCCCAGATTACCTATTGAAAAAAAAAATCAATCCAAACTTTTTAATTAAACAGAAGTTATGTATGTTCTCAGGTAATAAAACATTCCATACACATGGAATGCGTTCAAACCCAAGCTCCTAGGTCAATGAGATGCTGAACACAGTTTTCTTCTGCTCATCTCGATTCGCCACTTTCCACTTGTTACTTTTAAATCATTGCTCACTTTCCTTTCTCCATCAATCACCTTTATCACCAAACACCCCTCCAACACACACACTCCTCTATATTTTTCCCGTATTATTTACACGATAATCCTAACTGATGCCCTCATCAAGTAAAAGCAGCACTCCCATTTCTTTTAGTGTATTTAACCTGTTAAGATTACCTCAAAAAAATCAGTAAAATAAAATATAATTTACTTTTCTGTTTTCTGTTTCAGCAGACAGAGTAACCACCAAAACTAGATTTCTGTCTCTCTTAGGCCCTGAAACTAAATGCTACAGTTAAACCGATACAGTGAGAGCTAGCAAAACTAGAGCAAGTATTCCGATTTCAAGATTGCCAAAGTTGAAACAAGCGAGAGTTAAGTAAAATTTCTAAAATTCACTGTTATTTGAGAAACAACAACACCACTTGCACAATTTCATCACAGATTCTAGAACTAAGTCAGTTCTGCTGCAGTGAATATCAAGGTATTAAAAACAAAAAGGTTTAGGTGCACAAATATATATGCAGAGGTTTTACACTGCAGTTGCGGTATTCATGGAATTGCAGTCCTTTTCAAATTTTTAATTATTTTGGACGTCTATCTACTAAGATTGGAAACTGAAGAGTTATCTCACATTTGGAAAAGTCAGTTAGACTATAGAACAACACCTTCCTAATATCATTAGCTTTTAAAAAAGATAATTAAATCTTTGTTATTAAATCCAGTATTTCATGAAGTGCTCAGGAAATGCAACAGTCCTGTTTCTTAAGGAACACTCTGTTTCTATTCTACTTACCTATAATCTATTTTAAAAACTCCAGCTTCTTTTTAATGAAACTTTTAAAA